TTTCAGTCTTGCAGGCCCCGAATGTCCTTGTGGTTGCTGGAAAGCAGAACATGTTCTTAAGCCCCAGGAATCTGCAAGAGTGCTGTCTCTTTAAATATCCAAAATAGTCAAGCCACTTTTTCAACCTTCAAATTGGCGATGCCCTCCGGACCAGCAAAAGTCCACAGTTCAGCCCACCTTTTTCTTCACCTTCTCCGTTTGTTCCCCAGCCTCCGTGCACAGTCCTCCGTGTAGTCCCTGGTTAGCAGGGTGATTTTTAGGTTAATTCTTAAGTCCTACCAGCACTCGGGAATCTCCAAGCTGCCTGTGCTGTCAGGATTGCTCAGGATCGCTGCCAAACCGCAGCTCCGTATGTCTCCTTTTTTGGTATTTTCACGCAAATTCTTCTGCTAGTTGGGGTTTAGTCCACTTGTATATCCTTCCCTTCAAGGCTCAGGGGTCCAGGATTATCTTCTGTGTCTGTGTTAATTGGTTTCCCTTTTCTTTGTTGAAGATGATCTGTGCAGTCTTTCTGCTTAATCCACCATCTTGCCAGAACCTACTCATCTTCTGGATTTCTATTTGTAGATTTTGTGTCAATTCTAATTTTTTCATTTATTTTATCATTTTTTTCTTGTATTGTCTTCCCAAATTGTTCCAGGGTTTTTGTCTGTGTTTTCCTCCATTTTGTCAGTGTTTTCCTTTATCTATCTCTCAATCCATTATACCTAAATATAATTCTTTTTATAATACCTTATCAGGGAACTCTAATGCTGCTTCCTCATCAGGGATGTTTTCTGAGTCTGTATTCTGCTCCCATGTTTCTACTACTATATCTTGCTTTTTTGTGTGTGGACTGTGATGGTCTGTTGTCTCTGAGACATTGTGATATTAATTGGTGATTCTGTGTTGGTGTGATTTGCCCAATATTTTTTTTCTTTGTTTTGTTTTCATATATCTAAGTAATCAGGGTACTGTGCTCCTCTCTCTGCCAGTTGGCAGTCATTAAGCACTCACCACTTGTCTCCTGGTGAGTGTGATAGAGAATGAGAGTGTGTATCCAGATCTCTGTTAGCTGTTCCTGAAGAACAGTTAAGGATGAATTGGACTCCTATTGGCTGTCATCTGTCATTGGCCTATTGGTGCAGAAGGAAGGGGTAGCCCTCACTCAGTAAGTAGGGCTTCAGAAGGTGTGGGTATGGTTGGGTCATATGGGCACAGTTGCTATCTCCCACTCAGTTAGAAAAAGACAACAATCAAAAAAGTGAAAACAGAGGATAAAAAACAAACTACATAAATACACAGGAGCAATTGAAAAAAAAAAAGTAACATATGAAAAGAAATACTTTTTAAAGAAATACTTTTAAAAAGACAAAATAAATATACATAGAAAAAAAGAAGGGGGAAAAAAAAAACTCCACAATATATAGGGAAGGCTCAATAAGAGAAAAGAACAACAGTAAAAGAATAATAATTAAAAAAATGAGAAATGTGCAAAAAGTAAGGCAAGGGGTGGGAAGAATCAAAAGAAAGAAAAAAGATGGGAACCAGGAAAAAGGAAAAGAACAAAAACCAAAAAGTAGAACCTAGGAAGGGAAAAAGAAAGAATGAAATTTAAAAGGAATAAAGAGAATAATTCTAAAACAAACAAATTAATCTAGGGGAGCTGGGGCAGGGCTCTCAGGCTCTGTCAGAGCACAAGGAACTGAGGTGGAATTCTTGCTTGTCCAGAAGGTGGATGGTGGTGGAGGATGGCCACATCTCCATTCACCACAGGGTGTGGGGTGTAAGAGTAACAAGGGGAATATCACACCTTTCCTGTCATCATCCTTCAGTCTCATTGCCCCTGCTGTCCTCAGCAAGCAAAGCCTATTCTTGAGTTGCTGGGAAAGTAATGCTGCAGCTTTAAATATCCAAAATGGCTGCACTGCTTATAAATATTCAAAATGGCTGGGCCCTTAGGACAGCCCAAAGTCCATAACTGAATTTGTGTCCTTATTTGCTGTTTTCCTTTCTAGACATCAGCCACCAGTGTAGTTGTCCATGCTGCCCTTGGCAAGCAGAGCCAATTTTTAGGTTAATGCACAGGTCCTAACACCAGTTGCATTCAAACTGGCCATGCTGTCAGGATAATCACTAGTCCATAGCTTCATTTGTCTCCTTATTCATTGTTTTCCTTCAGGTTCTTTTACTTGTTGGTATTTAATCCAGTTCTGTATCCTTCCCTTCAAAGTTCAGGACTCCAGGATTATCTTCTGTATCTGTTTCAATTGGTTTCTCTTTGTTGAAGAGACTTTGTGTAGTTTGACTGTCTATTCTGCCATCTTACTGGAAGTCTTGAAGTAGATTTTGATAAGATGTATATTGTAAATTTTAACACAAGTACTAAGAAAATAACCCAAAAAATATAGTGAAAAAATAATTAAAATATTATACTACAAAATATCCAATAAATGCAAAAGAAAGTAGTAAATAATAAACAAAAAGTGCATAAAATATATAGAAATCAAAACAAAATGGCAGAGATCAATGCAACTACACTATCATTTCAAAAGTCAGGAAGAAATATTTGACAAAATCCAATGTCTTTTCATGACAAAAACACTCAACATGTATAAATAAAAGACTTCTTTGCCCTATTAAAAAGCATCTATAAAAAATCCATAGCTAATATCATACTTAATAATAAAAAATGAAAGTTTTTGCTTATTGTAGAGGAGCATCACAGAATCTACTTAAGTAAAGCAAAAGAAGTTTATTGAGGCATAGAGACAGTCTGGACCAGGAAGATGACCAAATTCACAGAGTGAAAATGGCTGCTCCACCAGACAAAAAGCATTTTTGTGCAATTGGAGCAGGAACAAAAATTACACAATCATAATTGCATAAATGACAATGAGGGGAGTCAAAGAGGGATATCTAAAATTGGAAATTTATACCAGAGATAGGTGGATAACATATATTTGGGATTACATGATTGGTTAAAGGTACATAATTGCAAGTGTATGTCCTCTTCAGCTTATTGCAGATAGGTCACAGTGCAATGTCAGGACAGGTTTTTCAGGTAACCTGCTATAAAAATTGCTTTCTTAATCATGTCTGTTTCTGAAGATCCATTGTAAAGATTTATTGATAATGCTATGCATCAAGAGTCTTCGGGTATAAGCTATCACATCTTGCATCTGTTTGACCATAGTGGAAAGACCTTCTGGAAATAAACTGTAATATCTTGCACTTGCCAGACCTCAGAGAAAAGGAATGTCTCCTTCAGGGTATATGGTCAGCATCAAGTCTATGTCAGCTTCCAGGTTAGAGGAACTGCTGTTAGAAACGGCAGTTTTAAAATTTAACATGGATTCTAGATTCATGTCAAGACTTAAAAATGGAGCTAAGACTCTACTACCAGAATGCTCTATTTATACACACCAAGTACCTCTGATTTAAGCTCTCCTACACTCCAAGATCAGAAACAAGATGAGGATGTCTGCTCTTGTCACTTCTAGTCAACATTGTGTTGGAGTTTCTAGCTAAGGAGATTAAGACAAGAAAAAGAAAGAAAAGGCTTCCAGATTAAAAAGAAAAAAGTGAAACTATCTCCATTTGCAAGTAACGTGGTCTTGTAGTATAACTGTCAAGGATGGTTAACAAATCTGCTAAAACATTACTAGTACTATGAGTTCAGCAAGGCTGCAGAATACAAGATCAACATAAAAATATCATTTGTATTCCTACATAATAGCAGCAAACAATCCCAATAAAATTAAGAAAACAATTCTATTTACAATAGCATCAAAAAAGAGGAGTAAGTTTAACAAAAGTATAAAATGTATACTATGAAAACTACATAGCATTACTGAAAAATATTACAGAATAGGTAAATAAATGGAAATATAGCCCATGTTCATGTATCCATTATACCCATTGGCATTGAATCGACTCCAACTCACTGTGACCCTATGGGGCAGAGTAGAACTGTTCCAAAGCATTTCCAAGCCTGTACTCTTTATGGTAGCAGACTACCACATCTTTCTTGGTTCAAACTGCTGACCTTTCATTTAGCAGCTGAGCACTTAACAACTGTGCTACCAAGGCTCCTTTGTTCATGTACCTGAATAATGTTAATATGGCAATACTCCCAAATTACCTACAAATTTAATGCAATCACTATGAAAATCCCAACTTTTTTTTGAAATTGACAAGCTGATCCTAAAATTCATAGGGAAATTCAAAGGATCCAGAATAGTCAAAACAACCTTGAAAATGAAAAAACAAAGTTGGAGGTCTTAACACTTCCTCATTGCAAGAATTATAGGATCTCTATGAGTCGGATTCAACTTGATGGCAGTGGCTTTTGATTTTAATCCTGGAATTTGGTTTCTTTATAATGATTAAAAAGACTTAATTTAATGTTTTAAAAAAACCAAACCCACAACCATCAAGTTGATTCTGACTTATAGCGACCCCCATTGGGTTTCCAAGGTGGTATATGTTTACGGAAGTAGATTGTTCAGTCTTGCTTCTGCTGAGTGGTTGGTAGGTTTGAGCCACCAACCTTCTGGTTAGCAGTCAGATGTCTTAGGCACTGTGCTACCAAGATCTAATATTAGACCTTACTGAGACTCACTGGAGAGCAAGAACTATATTAACCAAGCAAAATTCATAAATTTAAATGGTATTTTTTTGTAAGTCACTGGTCACTAAGATAAATTCCATTCATATTCCTGGTTCTGCAGATGTCTTCCTCCTCCATCACTATATACTTGGCTCATGAAACCATGAACTTGGTCAAACAGGACTTTCCTGTCTAAAGAGGTAGATGCACTATTTCACCATATCATATATATTAATGCTGGTCATTTACTTTTTAGGCTTATCAAAAGTGTTTATTAAGATATATGATGTATCCAGTTAACATTACCATACTGATTCTACTACAGTAAAGATTTTATAAAAGGTAACAAATAAGAGATTTACATACTGAATTATTCTACTCATGTTTGTTTCTCTTTTCTGTCCTCCAGGTATTTTGTCTTAAAAATTTACAAATTCTAAAACTGAGAAATAATCCTATCAAAGAAATCCCATCTGAAATTCAGAAACTTAAGTACCTTAGAGTTTTCAACATGGCCTTTAATTTGGTTACATTTCTTCCACCTGGGTAAGGTTGCTAGTCTGAGATTATAAACACAGAAAATATATAGTTTCTAATTTGGAAAATGATTAATTTCCCTTTTAAAGCAGGTTTTTTTTTTTTTTTTAAAAGCTATTTAGTAATTCTTACACTGTTCTCATTAGCTGATTTGCTTCTTATTATGTTATTATGGTGTTAAAAAATAACACTGTCAGCTACATAAATGGCAATTACTAAAATAAAAACATATCTCAAGATCCGTTATCTGAGTGTGGATGAGCACATATCACATAAAGCAGTTTAGATGAGAACCTTGCAACTATCCATTGATGGTATTTTTGACTGTAGAAATAGCATTGGGCCTGTAATTAGGAATTCTAGAATTCTAGAATTTTAACTTCAAAGGTGATGGTAGTTATTTATTGAATTTGGGGGAAAGTCACTTAGCCAGTCTTGGCCTCAGTTTCCTAATTTATAAACCAAGGGTTTTGACCTGTGTCTTTGTTATCTGGTGCTTCTATAACAGGCTCACTGGGATGGCAACTGTGCTCCCTCTGTTTTGGGCAGCCCCGTTCTCCTAGTTCATCTGAGTGGTGACTTCACTTTCTTAGCCCTGGTAGGCCCTGTTCTTCTACTGCTTAGGCATGGCAGCCCTGACTACTCAGCTTTGGGTGGTGGCTCCATCTCCATGGCACACCTTAATGGCAGCCCCACATTCCAGAACTAAGTGGGTGAAGATCCAATTCTTTGAAACCTAGGAGGCTCTGGCCCCACCCTTTGAGATCCAGGAGATCATGTTCCTACTTTTTGAAACAAAGAAGGCTCTGCTTCCTGTGCCCCTTCCAACAGTCCTGCTGATCTCCAAGCTGTTCCAGGGATGGTCCTTTTCTCTTCTTGGAAGATAACAGTTGTAGTTCCTTTGACTTGTTTTCTGCCTGTAGAATTCTAAGAGGCAGACAATGTTCTTTGCTTCAGTGCTTTCTCTGTCCATTTCAGTGGAAGCTGATGAGTTTTCTCCTGTGGTTAGATCCAGTCACAGGCTTAATCTCTTTAACAAAAGATTGTGTAGCCATGTCCTTGGTGAATATTCTAGGACCCAGTATTAGTTTGCACACAGTATTTTCCAAATATTTAAGTTCTGTTTCATTTTGCATGGTGTATTTTAAGTCCAACTCTTTCCTCTTCCATTTTACCATAAGCAGCAGAGAAACCATGTGACCCCTTTAAGATCTTGCTTAGAAATCTCATCAGCCAGATATCCAAGTTCATCACTTACAGGTTCTGAATATAATTCAGACATGTTCTCTGCACTGCATAAAAAGCATTACCCTTCCTCTATCGTCCAATCACATGTTCATAATTTTCTTTTAAAGTCTCATCAGAAATACGTTTAATGCTTACATTTCTAACAGCATTCTGTTTCTGGTCCCATATATATTCTCTAAGGCTTTCTCTATAGCTCTCTTCACTTCCTTTTAAGCCCACCCCAGAATTACCTTTGACATCTATAATTCCACCAACAGTTTCTTCAGGGCAATCTAGACTTTTACTGTTAGGCAACTTAAAACTCTTCCAAGCTCTATCTATTATCCAATTCCAAAACTGGTCCCACATTTTAGGTATCTGTTAGAGCACCACCACACTACTGGTACCAAAGCTTAGTTATCTAGTGCTGTTATAACAGAAATACCACAGGTAGATGTCTTTAACAAACAGAAACTTATTCTCTCATAGTTTAGGAGGCTAGAATTCCAAATTCAGAGCACCAGCTCTAGGCTTTCTCTCATTGTTGGCTCTGAGGGAAGGTCCTTGCCTCCTTTCAACATTTGTGGGCCCAGTGCTCCTTGGAGATCTCCATGTGCCCTAGTATCTATCTTCTTCTGGGTCTAGTAGGTTCTTAGCACAGGAACTCCAGGTCCAAAGAATACATTCCACTCCTGGCTTTTCTTTCTTGGTGGTGGTGAGGACCCTCCACTCTCTGCTCACTTCTCTCTTCTTATATCTCTTGTAAGAAAGATAAAAGGCTTTAGTAATGGTGTAACTTGAATAAGAGTGTGACTTGAGTCACACTGTCTTGTAAGGCTGTGACTCAAGACACACCCCACACTGATCCTGCCTTATTAACATAGAGTTTAGGATTTATGACACATCACAAAATGGAAGATAATTGCATTAGACAAGCACACAATACTGGGATTTGTGAGCTAGCCAAATTGACACATATTTTGGGATGACACTCTTCAATCCATGAAGGCCTGTATGATCTCTAAGATCTTTTCAACTATAAATGCATGTTAATATTTATGTATAAAAGAGATGGATTTCTTCCCAAGTATGGACTGTTATTTAATTAAATCCTAATGAAAGTTTTCAATTAAAACACTAATCAAATTCCAAACTAGATACCTCTTAGAATTAGAGTGTAATAAATTGAGTGTAGGTTTAGGGCAAAGGGATAATGACTTTTAAATAATTGAAAAATATTTCACTATATTACTAAAAAGAAAATTCTCATAGTTATTAAGAAAGTGCACCCAAATTCACTTACAAAGATGTTCATCCAGCATTGCTGGTAAATAATTATCCAATAAATTGTACATTCAGACACTGTAAAACTATTCAGTCATTTAAAAGGGTAAAGAAGTATATAAGAAATTATGCCATTTCTGTATTAAAATACACATATATACATATCACACTTATACACATAACATATATAAAAATATATAAATAAGGAAATAAGAATATCATACTTTGGCAAATTATTTACATTTGAGTCATCTGACAAACATGGTGTTGCCTTGAGTCAGAATCAACTCTGGCAACTGGTTTGGTTTGTTTTAAATTACTTTATTTCCATGTATTGGAAGAAAATAAATAGCTATATTTAATTCTGTACTAACTTTGACAAATTGCTTAATTTCTTGCATCTTTCATTTTTTTTTTTAATCTATAAAAAAATAATGACAACCTTGCAGTGGTACCATGAGGGGTCATTTTAAATTACCTGGAACACATAGTGGACTCTCAGTCAATGGTAGTGATATTGTTATGGTTGTTGTCACTGTTAATGCATGTAATTGTTAATGCTACCCTAATTTCCAAAGCCATCCACAGAACTCTAGTTCCAGCTGCTCTTTACCCAATGATGTGTGATAAATTAATGAAATAAATGTGAGAAATGTACACATTCTCAAAAATGTGATAGATTTTGGTGCTAGTGGGGTAAGAAGTATCAGAGCAAAGGGAGGATATCTAAATAAATTTGCTCTATAAATTCCTATGTAGATGAGACAAAATTCAATTCTAGAACCTATCCAGCTTCTTAGCTTACTCAATACTGCCTACAAGCCCTATTAAACATCACAATCAACAGGAATATATCACCAATGGTGAAGGCTTGAGATCAGACTAGTTTGCCAGTACTGAAATGACAAAGGAAGACAAAATGATCTTAGAAATTGCTGGAGCAAGAAAATAAAATAACAATTTTTAATTGAAAATGGAACAGATGACATTAATATTTTCTTTTTGTGTGTGATTTGGGTGAAAATGTACAGAGCAAATTCACTTTCTATACAGAAGTTCACATACACTTTGTCTCATGACATTGACTCCAAGTTACCACAATGCAATAGCACCCCTCCCACTTCCTCCCCATAGTTACCTCTTCCTTGTGTCCATCCTGCATGCACTTATGCCCCCTGAGCTGTCTCCCTGTGCATAAACAGCCCTTCTTTCTCCCATGATTGTTCTCTCCAAGGAGTGTATCTACCTCAGGTAAATGTTCAACTCATATTCTTGTCTTTTGTTTGGCTGGAAGCCACAGGGGTGGGTTCACTTCCAGACCTGAAGGGCAGTTAGGGGCCATAGTCTCAGTGGTTCCACCAGGGTCGATCGGACCAGCAAATCTGGTCCCCCCCTCTTTTTTCCCCCAAATGGTTTTGAGTTTTGTTCCACATTGTTCTCCCTCTATCCAGGATCTCCTACATAGATCCCCTCCGAGTGGTTGACAGTGATATCCTGGCACCATCCAGTTCTTCTGGTCTCATAGTCATATAGGCTGAGGATTGCATGGTGTACCAGTCACTAGGACTAATTGTTTCCATGAATCTTTGGTTTTCTTCATTCTTCTTTGCTCTGGATGAGGAGAGACCCATTGTTGCACTAGATGGCTGCTTGCAAACTTTTAAGAACCCAGTCACTACTCACCAAAGAAGGAGGTGGAACAATGTTTTGTGTAGTATCTTATGCCAGTTGAGCTTGATGTCCCCTGTGAGTATGGTCCCATGCCCACAGGTTCAACTACTCAGTCCCTCTGGGTAGCTGGCTGTGACCAAGAAGTGACTACAACCTTGTCCCTTGCCAGCTCTACTATACACCTGGGAATTCTTACAGATCATACAAATTGTCTGCCAGCCCTATACATGGTCTTGGGTACACTCCCCACTTCATGTTATTGTTGTTGTTATATGCTGTCGAGTCATCTCCGACTCATAACGACCCTATGCACAGCAGAACGAAACACTGCCTGGTCCTGAGCCAGCTCCATGATTCTTGCTATACTTGAGTCCATCACCGCTGCCACCATGTCAACCCATCTTGTTGAGGGCCTTCCCCTCTTTCATCCACCCTCCACCTTACCAAGCATGACATCCTTCTCCAGGGAATGGTCTCTTCTGACAACATGACCACAGTAGGTGAGATGAAGTCTGGCCATTCTCGCCTCTAAAGAGCATTCCAGTTGCACTTCCTCCAGGAAAGATTTGATAGATCTTTTAGCAGTCCATGGTAGTCTCAGCACCTTTGCCAGAACCACAATTCAAAAGCATCAACTCTTCTTTGGTCTTCCTTATTCATTGTCCAGCTCTCACATGCATATGAGGCAATTGAAAATACCATGACTTGTGTCAGGTGCAGCTTAGTCCTCAAGGAGACATCTTTGCCCTTCAGCACTTCAAAGAGGTCCTTTGCAGCTGATTTTCCCAGAGCTATACGTCGTCTGATGTCCTGATTGCATATGCTGA